GTGTGGCTGCTGGCAGGTCTCGAGAGAGCCCTAAGGCACAAGGGGACGAGCGTGTTTCGTAACGCGATTGGTGCGCGACCGTCTACTGTTGTTAATGCACCCGATCGCAACGGAGAGGACGACGAGCCCCTGACTCAGTGGTTAGAGTGTTGGATTTTTTGACCAAAAGTTCGCGAATTTTTAGCCAGCCTAGTCAGTCGATAACGCGAGCCGACGCTAAGACTAAGTCTAGAAAAGCCAAGCAAAATGACCACGCCGGAACGAACTTAACTGTCAATGCCGCCCATTGAAGGACAAAGGCGGTGGGTGAAAGTCACTTTGTGAAACCGAAACTCACACCAGTTGAAGTCTCCGCGTAACCGTTACATAAACGCCAAGTCAAACAGAAGTAAATAAATGTGAGTTAAGGAGATGCCTAACGTATAGTATAATTATGAAAAGCTGTGTATAAACAAAAAATATGACAAAGGGCTGCCATAAGTTCGAGCTTCGAGGGTTGGGTATGGTTGGCCGATGACTGTTAAAAGGCCAAAAATCGCCATTCTACTCTCCTTTGTCTTTGCCGATAATTTCACTGCAATAAGTATGTCTTACCAAGTTATTCTGAACGAGATTACATATTTGTTTAAAACACAGCGGACAGCCAGAAAGAACAGAGACGGTAAATAATTGGAGGGGGACATCAGCGATGTTACGGCTTTCCAGCATCTTCCGGGGTGGTCAAAAAAGAGAGGCAGCATAATGTGGAAGGCAAAAGTTAAGATACAAGACACAAAAATCGTCAGATATCCGCGTCCGGCTGCGAAATACTTATAAAAGCATCCCTACAACGCCAGCTTGATGAGAACCCCATCTTGATTACAACGTTAGAATACAAACTTAGACCTCTTATGAAGAACACCTAGCAACATCGTGGCAAGCCAAAGCATCTTCAGAATGCCGTGCTTAAATATTCGAAAGGAGCCATAATACTCATTATTTTCATTAGAAGCCTTGCCAAATCCATTTACTTTTGCCGTACCAAACTTTGTAAAGTGTTCTTTTTCTGAAAGTCCTACGCCAAGGAGGAGTTGGCTCTTATTTAAACAACTTTATTCTGATCTGTGTTGAAGACTACGAATGCTCCCCGCCCAGGTTAAAGAGCTAGGTATGCGATTCAGTCATGGAACACTAGACTTCCAAGCTGCTAATCTGTATAGCTCAAGAGTATGGTTGATTAGCAACGGTAAAAAAATCTGCTATCGCCATTTTACATACGTTGTATGTGCTGGTGGACTTACATCAGAGAAAGATGCACCTCATTGTAAAACCCCCTTTTGAGCGAGAAAGAGAAAGCTTGGCGAACAGCGGACTATAAGTGTTTACCCACGGTTGGACAAATTCGAACGACGACTTCTGCTGCTCAATCGGCGCACCTGTCTAAAATCAGTCCATTCTCGTGGGAATTGGCAACAATGCTATGTTTGCACCACATAGAGCTGGCAGACATGAGAGGCGGGAATTATTGACTGAAAGGCTCAGTAATATCTACCCACACAGGAGCTTGGCTAGGAAATAGTTTTTTGCGTGTGTGCACACACGCCTGACGCAACTGACGCCACTGGAGCCCAATACTCTGCTCTTAGAACCACGAACTCCTCCCTGTATGCGTAAAGTACATCACTAACTGCGTCGCAGTCAGGGGCGTGTTAGAATGGAAAAATAGATTTCCTTTGAACCTTTCAAGATGACAGGCCTCAGTAGACCAGCCGACTCACGCCTGTTCATTTATTTCGAGCTTCTGAAACTGACAAACCAGGCGCTCCTGTAGGGTCTGTGTGCACTTTAAGGTGTTGGGTTTCAACTTTTTTTAAATGAGACCTAATCTCAAGTAGAATTTTTCATGTGGGCGACACTGTTTAGCTCCTTCACTTATTATTGTCAACTGCAACATAACATTGCTGTTAAAGCGACCTTTCCAAAATCCTGGATATAGGCTCCCTTGCTTGATTACCAAACAAACAGGCTTGGAGAGAAGCTACAGAAAAGGTAACACTACACTAAATATTCACTTGATGGGAGAGAGAATCGTTATTTCTGGCTCAGTCCTGTTTCTTCAGCCAGTCATACCATTGGCGAATACCCACACGATTGTCTGATCACCGAAAGTGACGATGTTCACAACTGCATCCTGACCTGGACATGACCGTAGCCTGCGCATGGATTTATCCGTAGCGAGGCAGGCTTGCGTCGAATCAGCCTCAACCCTTCTTCCCACACCCACCATGTTCTCGTGGATGGAAAAGGCCAAGATACCCTCGCACCACATACACAACATGGTGCATAACTTCATACGTATCAGGCCTCATTCAGGAGTTTCGAATCCCACGAAATTGTGAGTGTCATAAACACCACACTAAGAAGAAAGTGCTTCACTTTGCCTCTCAATACCGAGTAGAACTTAGCTGCCGCAACAGCGGGAAACTTCTCAAGCTGCGACTGTTAGTATCTTTTTTTAGTTTCATGGCGCGTTTGGTTGTTTATACTGAAAGCAATTAAACGTTGGATCCAGGCTGGACGGATTTCAGTTACTCTCTTCCCTTACGTACAACAGTGGGTTGCCCTAGTCAGCCAAATTGAGTATGAAATTTGACGCAGTGACTGATGAGACGTGAGGTCTCTATCCCTTGTTTGTGACACAGTGCTTGGATCTCTTTATTCGCTTTGGTCATATCTGGATAGGTTAAATAATAAGAAACAATGCATAATGCAAAAGCCCATGGTAGCCCATAGCTAGTAATTTTGTCGTCAGTGTTGAATTATTCAGTGTCTGTGTAACAATGTCTGTTGGCAGACTGTGGATACTACGCGGTTATTCCACAATAGCTGATGGGTTTGAGCTCGAATAGTCATATGTAAACTTTTGAACCGAGCCCAAAAAGTTTTGTTCTGAAGGATTTATTCGAAGTTCGCACGTTATTTTCATCGGAAATTAAACGAGGCAGTGTACACCGTTCATAGCGTGGACGGATAATGCAAAGCGTTACTGACAAGGACTGGGCGTACTGGCGTAGTCGTTTACGGTTTATTAACCATCGTCAGTTGCTGGGCCAACTCGAGATTAAAGTATAGGCTTAGGGGCTCATCGGTGAGACTCTCCCGCTTGAAAGATGGATCTACCTCATGCTGGCCGAGGTGAGAATATTCAAAATCACAGGGGTTGACGTTAAGGATATATCTTAATCGCTTAACAAAAATGAGGATGGTTATTCTGCCGTGAAGATGCGGGAGTTGGGAATGAGCGAAATGTCGCTACTGCACGACGAACGCTCGAACGTGGTTTCTAATAATGTCCACCGCGTGCGCCACAACACAGCGGACGCAGGGACGGTGAATTGCCCTAAATTAGTTTATAGCGATAGTGGACTTGCGCTGCATCTACCGCACCCTGTCCTCCGTCTCCCACCCAAGCCCCGTGTCAAGAAGACGGAAGCGGGCGAGGGTGCAGGTCGCTGACACGACGAAAACGCACACCTAGGCGTACCGCCACGTCCCCTGGTCCAAAAGGCACACTCACTATGATTTTATATCACAAGAAGACGACTCGGGTCCCAACTGGCGCTTCGTCGGCCTATGGCTGGGCGTGCCGCCACACCCACGGTGTCAGCACTTATTGTGAGTACGCATTCCCAATAACGCCTGCCAGACCCCGATCTAGACCCTTGTTGATCCAGCGCATTTACCGCGTGGCCCGTTTTAGGGGCAAATGCACGTTTAACGGGGTTTTAGATGTCACGAAAAGCGAGAAATCTAACAATAACCGGTCGGATGTGGTTATGTAGCCCCACCTGAAGTAAATAAACCACAGCCACCTGTAATAAGGGACCGGTAGTAATAGCAGTTTTTACAGATGAGGCCATGGGATGCACAGACAAAGAGGTCAAGGAACTGTATGAAAAAAGAAAAGTTACTGGGAATGCACGAATGTACTTTGAATGGTTGAGAAATAGTTGCGTTAACCCCTTATCCTAACCCTAACCCCTAACTATAACCCTTATCCCCAACCCCAACAGTATCGTGTCCATCAGGTAGGCTACCAAACCACATCTTACCTAATAATTATTACAGTGTCTCCAATTTCATTGATAACAATTCTCGAGGATTAGTCACACGTTGCAGAGTGACAGCCTGGATGGTGTCCAGTTCGAAGTTCTAAAAAGTAAAAACATCGACTTCCATTCCGCACTTAGGACGGGTACACTAACGTTTCTCTCGTTGGGCAATTTCTCAATGCTGCTCGAGTTTCAGGTGGTCATTTCTGAAAAAGTAGCACTGGAATTCCAGAAAATAATAACTGGTCATAAGTCTAGCTGACGATGGAACCTCACGAAATGTCAGCAGCAACAACCATTAACGAATGGTTACTTGGGCAAATTCATCAGTCCGTGTATGTGTAAACGCGACGAGAGACAAAATTCAACCGATCTTAAATTTTGCAAGCGCTCCAGTACGCGGAGAACGTCTCGGAAGCCGTCAGCCGCCTTCTCACGCCACTCAGAGTTGGAATTGCACACAGATCGGAGGCAGACATTAGGCGCCAGGTAATGAGGCCGAAAGGCCCACTGCCATGACAGGAAACGTCTGAAGTCTTTTACCGGCTCTGGTGCAGTTGCGGAGAAACTAACCACGTTGGATAAACTGACAGACTACTTCGAAAGCAAATGCCGAACATACAGCAGCAATGAAGATGAATGACGTTAGTTCCCAAATCGTGACTCATTCGACGGGACCCAGCCACAGCTTCAAGTTGGACTGGGCTGAAATTTCCGTAAGAACGTAACGGCCACTTGAGCCGCGAGCTGCTTGAGTCATGGTTAGTCGGTCCGCATCCAGCTAAAAAGCACAGTGACTTTCTCCTTGTTGTTGGACGAGTGCGTCATATGAAGATTGTGCTCTCTGTGTCTCTATTACCCTTTTCTGCGACTGTCTCTGATGATGAGTTCGAGTGAGAACGCACAATATCAGGTCAGTAAAGTTCTTGTCCCAGCGATCACGTCGTCGTCGTCGTCGTCGTCATCATCATCATCATCATCATCATCATCATCATCATCATCATCATCATCATCATCATCACCTTCTTCTTCTTCTTCTTCTTCTTCTTCTTCTTCTTCTGAACTGCTTCCTGGAACTCTATTTATCAGTAGTATTAGACGGCGATACGGAGACTCCATTCGGGCCTGCTTGGCAGGGGGAGTACAACCAGAATTCCACTTTCTGGTGCGATTATTTGCACTGTGAGCACGAGCGAATTTAGGGGTCTCGAAGTCCTGATAGATCATGGAGCCATCTATTCTGAGCGAGAAAGGAGACCCAATGACTTAATATCTCCAGCAGCTGTAGAAGGGGGTTTCACTTCTTTTCTCAGTTCTACTAACATTGACATGAATGGCACCGGATGGCAGAAAAACTGACTTTCGAGTGGTGTTTAAGACGAATTATTTTCCTCTCATATGTGAACAGTAATATAAGCGGTAAAACTAACTAAAAAACTATTATGCGACAGCGTAGACCTGCAATATAACAGAAAGATGGCTTTTTCAAGCTTTAATGCCCAAGTGGAAGCGGTTTTAGGGTGTAGGAGAGGTAACTCTAGGCTGGGGTTGGCAATTATCCCCTGTTCCCACTGACAGGCTAAAAATATTTCACAAACTCCAGAAAACTTTGACGACTGATTTTATATTTGATTGTAGATCTTTTTTAACAGATCATTGCACGTCCTGCAAGTGACGGTTTAGTCACATTTTACCATGACTCGACACTACTGGAAGGAGCCTGAAGTTAGCTTCCGCAGTGTGCGACTTGCGATCACGTTGCGAAGATTAATTTTTGATAGTTTAGGTGGCATTTCAAGACTGGGTAACTGACTATTTTGCGAAAAGAGGCGTTGGAAAGCGGAGTTATCGAGATCGCAAGGCAGCCACGACAGTAAGGCCTCTACAAGCCAGGGTTCTTGGGAGCAGACCTTGATGAAGGCAGGCAGTGTGAGGGCGCGGTCCATCAGAGCCCCCGTTTTCTTAGCCAAAACTTGAATTGCGTCCCGATAGGGTTCAGTGGGATCAACTTCATAATTAGAGGCTGCAATACGGAAGTCGAAGCTGTTCTGCAGCAGAACGGCGAACTCTACATTGACTCGGAGGGAGTCATCTCCGTCGATGTCCATAATGACAAAAGCAAGAATGGCGCGCTCCAGGAAACTCCCCCTGAGGAGGACCGACAAGAGGGAGGCAAATTCGTGTGGCTGAACGTCAAGCTTTTTCCCCTTTCCTTCACGCTTCATTACTGCTGCTCTGCACAAACCATCCAGAGCCACCGTATGAGTTAAGCCCAGATTGGCATATAGGAAGGTCTTGAATTCCGGCATCGTCAGATTTCTTACTTGATAGCCTGTCAAGCGAAAGTACATTTGGTAAATAATGCTCAGCTCGACTGAATTAAAGTGTAACTGTTTGTCTCGCTTCGACTGCTTCACATGCTTCAAAATGCAGTGACGAATCGAGGCTGGGATTTTGTGATCTGCGTTTCGGGGCCTCGAGATTCTCACGTTCGCCACAACACGCTCGATAAAACGCCTGGGTTGGAAAGTCTTCCGTACCTCGTGGGATGAAATTGTAAAAACAGAGGGGGGCAAGAATTGCCATTTATTGTATTTGTAGCTTATTGCTTCCACCTCCCGTCGGCTGTTTGGCAAATTGGCCATGTGGTGATAAGCCTGCACAGTGCCACGAATTTAAACGAATAATCGATTGCTGTTTTAAGCATGAGTACTAGAAGGCCAAATCTAAGTGGTCAAAACAGCACGCTGACGTAAGTATATTTACAAGGTCGGAACTGTGCGAGCTGAATTTTGGCCTTCTTTCGCAGATGACTACGGTTTTGGGCAGCCTAATAAAACAAGATGAATAATACACACCCATAATTAACTCTCGGGAATGACGTACAACTGCTAACCAAAGGTAAACCTTTGCGGCCATCAACTTGTATCGACTGTTTACAAGCGTTCTTTAAGTTTGTGTCATGCTTAATGCTGACTCGTTCCGTCAGTTTCGTGCAACCACATAAGGGAGGGCCAGTTCTTGCAAACCCACGTGCTGAGTGAGTGGGTGTTTTCGCATTTATGGATCACATCACCTTTGAGTCATCTCGCTTCTTCTGGCAGAACCAAGATCAACACCTAAGGTGGGCTGGTTAAGCATGGTTTAAGTAGGTGAAGTGCAGTTCTGAATTACCGGCTGTTGTCATGTGGTATTTAATGACGGAGTGGGTTTTTATATTAGTTCAGTCCTTACTATCTCTTTGAACTCTGTTCTCTCTACTCGGCAGAGTAAATATAGATGGGACACGGAAGACCTGACTCAGTAACTGAACGATATGGGCGTTAGCAGTTTCACTGGGAAATGCAGTTTTTGTAAAAAAAAAACTACGCACGGACTTCTTAACGGATTTATGACAACATAAATTGAACCATGCTGCGTTTTGGGTAGCCGAAATTGGTTATTACATGTGTCTAGTGCAAATGGTTCAACAGGCATCTAGATAAATGATTCATCTGGGTGGGCAGAATCCAACTACTATGAATATTTAAGGATTGCTTTATTCCCGCAGGATTTGTTTATTAGGCTTATTTGCGGTCTACGACCAGTGCAAATCAGTCTCCTTTATACCTGAGTAATAACACTGGCTTTATTTTATTCCACTGCGGAATTAAACCGGTCACCGCGCACCACGTAATGTGAGATACACGAAGGTTGATGCAATTTTTACATTATTCGTTCGTTGCATCCTCTACAGAGGGCTATGACTTATTCACCGATTAATAACATAAAATTAACCGTATCAGTTTGCAAGGTAACAAAAATAATTTACAAATTCTATGGCATGAAACTTACGGTAGAATTGTGGCTTTTAATGGGTATACTTCGGGCAGGCGCGTGACAACTACACTAAGAAGGACAGATTCCCCAATTGCTGCATATTGTTAGGTACATTTTCGAGGTCTACAAAACCGAGAAATAACGTACAGGAACTGTACACAATAATCTCACTCTTATACTCGTTTTGTAGTAAAGTTAGCCCTTTTAGAAGTTTATTCTGTAAAGGAAATTTATCGTTCTCGAAAGCTCCCTATAATCGCTTCCGCTGAGTACGGAACTATACGAATACATAATCTTCCACAAGGTAAACAGGTGACACGAATATTTTATAGATTCTATCTGGTGAAGGAAATTGAAAAACAACGAAAAAATAGGCGTTATACAAGCAGAAGTGGACTTTTTCGATTGCAATACGTACAGGTGGTCACAGTCACCACAAGGCTTTTACCTCACTGCTCCGGCAACGAAGCCTCGAAACGTAACCTGACCCACTCGCTTCTGTACCAGAGCTCCGCGGCGTGTCATCTTTCCCTCCCCCATCGCCCCTTACCCTGATTCATCCCTTCTCCCGTCCCCTTCCCCTCAACGATTGGTTTGACATCATCCCCCTTCTGAAAGCATCATAGAAACAGTTCCTGCCTGTTAATGTGTTTAATTTTGAATGGAACCCTTCGCAGTACTCGTCGTTACGCAACCGAGATAAAACGGAACCCCTGTTCCCTCATCATCAATCAGGCCAGACCGTCGAGCATCAATCCTACATTATTCACACCTTTGAAGAAAATAAGTTGAGTTCTAGTAGTCCCAAAATGCCTATCAGAAAATAAAAAAACGTGTGCTGCAGCTTCTCGATATTGATCAGTCGAAATAAAAAGCAAATGTCACACACTAGAAAAAGTCCATACCTCAAGGAAGAACAGAAAAATCGTTCACATAACAAAGTAAAGCGGAGAGATTGCCCTGGAAAGTCAGAAAAAAATCAAACATGAGATATCATCACGTGAAACTTAAACGTGCTTCGACTAGCACCAACGCCAATCCTGCTGGCTCCTGAGCCTAGATAAACACGAACTCTTGTGACTCATATAGTTTAACCGTTGACTAGGCCCTCAGCAACCGTTACTGTTCACAAACGACGTGTAGAATGGGGAAATTCCATCGGCGATCGTACACTTTGGATGCAGACTATTCAATCGCGCGCTGTCGCCACGAGTGCTATGGTCGCGCACTCCACTCACCCGAGGGGAGCGCGTCCGTGATGCAATCTCTACGATCTACTATCTAAGTGCGCCCCAGTGGTCACGATAACCAAACAATTGATTGTATTGCCTTGTTTAATTTCCGAGGAAATTAATGCGCGAACGGGCCTTTTCAGGCATGGTCCAAATTTTGATATGAATATTTGAACTGAAATCCATCAGCTTCTGCGGAATAATCGCTTAATATTCACAAACCGCCAACAGGCAGCCAGTAGCATAGGACTGTGCAATGATTTACCGTACTAACAACACAGGTATTGGCTAATGAATGAGAGGACTCTATTTGTGGTAAGATTGTTCGGTAGTACTGCAGATTCTCCATCGCCCATTTTCAGGTCGGATAGGCAGAAAGTACCAACTATGCGGCCAAAGATGTATGACGTTTAAGAGAAGAAATTTGTTGGCAGGACGATACTGTCGGCATTATTAAGGTTTGCACGGACGACGTTTTGTTCTACCTTAACGACTTGGTAGCCATGGCAGGCCTTGAACAGCAACTCATCTGCTTGTGGTTAACGGCGGATGCTGAGAAGACAGTTTTATCGATTGCTTGCATTAGCAACGAAGATTGCCGAGCTACAATAACTCCGACGGGTCTTCAAAGCCAACGACTGCCTGCGCAACCTTGTCAATCGGTGCATACGCAAAAAGGACTAAAGGCCAAACCGCACGGACCCCAAATTTTGGCGAGCGCTTCCATACGTCAAGAACGTCTCGGACGCTGTCGGCCGCCTACACGCACCACTTGGAGTTGGAGTTGCACACAGATCGGAGGCAACCGTTAGGCATCAGGTAATGAATCCAAAAGACCCGCTGCCACGGCAAGAAACGTCTGGAGTCGTTTATCGGATCTGGTGCAGTTGTGGACAAAGCAACGGATTTCTTCCTCTCTTGACCGTGATGGATAACTTTACCTATTAGAATTTGATTAAGTTCATGAGTACTTGGGTCATGCTTCCGGCCCCCATGACTTTATAAACGACACTGCTTTTGTGGGAAGCGAAGGCTCTAGCAAAATATAAAAAAAACAGACGGCAGCGTTCCGTTGAAGGCAATGTCCGTATGCTACAGTTTGTCAGGAGGGTTTCGGATGGGGTGGGCGTCAGTTTGGTGTTCCAACATCCATACTTCACTGACGAAGCGAAAGCGGTCTCAAAGAATGTCCACAAAGACATCCGTCAAATGAACATTAGGCTGATTCCTCTATAATTGTGCTGCAATCCATAACCTCTATATTCCAAAAGGTAAAACTACGGAGTTGCTATAGTCTTGTGAACCAGACTGCGCGTCACACTAACCAACGAGCATTCCCAAGCAGTTCTGAAAAGGAATGCAAAAATGTCAAGTGAAATTTAGTTTCCGAGTTCCTAAATATTGGTTGAAACATTCGAAAGTCAATTTATAAAGCATCAGTCAACCATTAATCAATTCTTTTCATTCTTGTACATTTATAAGGAAACTGAAATAATTAAAATATGCGGGCCAGTAAGAAATCATACTGAAGCTATAGTGTGGACGGAAAAAACAAAACTGCAATCAGTGGCATGCGATCAACGTCAAATTACATGCAGACGGCTGGCGTGGGGACTCTGGGCAATAATTATTGTAGGGTCAATTTGCAGTTCCTCTGTGCGCACAGGTCTGATTTGAATAACCTGATTACACCCGCGTCTGCCGTAGTCAACGGACGCTGTCTACATGTTTTCGGATAGCTTGACGGGGCCTTGTAAATCACTAGGAAGGCCTCTTTGGCATCTACGCAGAGCTCCGTGTCGGTCCTATGAACGAGGTTAGAGCTGACAAAGTTCTTTATCACGCTCATTTATGGCCATGTCGGAAGAGGTTATATTATTCTAATGGACAAACGCCGGCTTGTGCGACCAATATACTTATTCCCACAGGAGCGAATC